GTATAAAATCTGTTTACTTATGAACTTAAAAACAATGTCTAGTAGTTAAACTTAGATTTAAAAAAAATACGTTAGCTTTTACAAAGTTTCAGCAGACCTTCTGGTGAAATGAATGAAAATGGCATTCTTAATAACCCAAGCAAGTTTTATTAGGCATTGGTAACAGAATTAGAGTGAATGCATTGAAGCTCAGTTTCACCTTGAAAGAGACTCAGCAAAATCCTCCCTCTAAAATATTTAGTATTTTTGGATTATGAACTACATAGACTGTCATGATTTAAAGTGAAGTTTTTCACTTTAAAAAAAGTTTGATGCGCCTAGTGTAAAGAAGCTGAGAGAGATATTGTTTCACTCAGGGCTCTAGGGAAATGACAACAAGTTAAGTTTCTTAGAAATCTTACACTGAATCAATATTAAATAGTTAAGTTTACATGATAAAGCCTTGTCAATGATCTAATTGTATGTTTACAGTAATTTTTCGTTCCTTTTAAAGGTCTTTGGATGGATTACATCAAAGAAGAATTGAACCACCCACTTGGTAGACCTGAGAACTGCGGACAGATCTATTGGCGAGCCATGAAAATGTTACAGGGAGAGCCAGCAGAGGTTTTTGTAGCTAAACATGCGATGCATCAAGCTGGCCGTTTGTGAGAAGAGGAAAAACACAGCCGATTTTGTGAAATAGTGTTATAAGCCCTCTGGCCAGATTTGTATTGTGAGTTCATCTGCAGTTTGCTAAGAGATGGCAGACAAGATGGCAGTCTGATTTTGGGACATGCTTTAATTTTGTTAATGCGTTAATCTTTAATTCCAGAAAAGAGAATTGCTATTTAGTGGCCCAGAGGCTACTTGTTAAGGCCGGACTTACTGTAGGTCCTAAATGTTTTCCAAAATATATAGAAATCATAAACTTGAGTTTCTTTTGTTACCCCTGGTCAAGAATGATTATCTCTAACTGGGACCTAGGGGGGCCAGTGAAAGTGGAGGAGAAAGTACAATTCCATTTTTTCTTCTCTTCTTATTAAAAAAGTATACATGGTGTGCATTTGTTGTAGGAAATATGGAGTGAGCAGAATAATGTGGGGAAGAAAATAAAAGCATCCCATAACCTCATCGTCTGGAGTTAAACTTACTTCCTTTATGAGAATTAGATTTATACTATTAGATCATTTACTCATTCATTCATTCATTAAGTGTTCATTATTAGCAGGAAAGAAGAGAAGCTTTTTGGGATGGAGGTAGGGGTTGGAGGAACAGGGCTGGACATCCTGAGAGAGCTTGTTGTTGCCACAGAAGAGGATTCTGGGTATTGGGGTCAAAAGTTGACCTTTAAGAGGATAAGACATTATAAAAGTGCCTTCTATCCCTGGGACTGATCTTTAGAGAAGTGTCTACAGTGGGGAGGCCCAGCAACAAAAGGAGGGCAATGGGTAGGGAGTAGATTAGAGCAGCAGAGAAGGCCTTCAGAGGCAAAGGTGGAGGATGGCTTGGAGCAGAGAGGACATTCTGGGAGCAGGGGAGGCAACTGTTTGAATTTTACATCCTTTAACTGAACATTGATGTCACTGGGAGAAGCATTCAGTTTAGTTTGACTTAATATTGTTACACTTATGTTATTTTTCCATGTCATTAAAGAGCCTTAAAAACATTTAATGAATTTTTAACATTGTATTGTATAGATGAGCCGTGACTTAACTTTGCTAATTCTTGTGGTTGGACCTTGTCATTTCTAATTTTTTTCTTATAAATGCTGTTGATGAAGATTCTCATAAATCTTTGTCACATCCTTGATTATTTAGGAGATTGACATTTGATGGTAGAATTACTGAATTAAAGGATATAACTATTTTGAAGAATATTGACATGTATTGCCAATCTGCAATGTATGCGAATACTTTGAAGCAGTGTAGGAGAATGTCAATACCTTTACCTGTAGTGGGTATTATGTTTTAAATTTTTACCATTTGAATAGGCAAAAAGTGCTATGTCATTGTTTTAGTGTGCATTTTTTATATTAATGAAGTTAATGTGCTTTTCCTGGTTCTCTTGTTTTTTAATGTTGACTGTTTTCTAAACTTTTTTCTTACTAATTTGAAAGAATTTTTTAAATATTAATTTTTAGTTTGTCTCTCCTTTATTGCAAATAATTTGCCCCTAGCTTTTTGTTTTGTGTGTGTGTGTGTGTGTGTGTGTGTGTGTGTGTGTGTGTATGTGTGTATGTGGTGGTTTTTGATTCCCAGAGGATATTTTGGTGTGTGTATGACTTCTATTGTTGAAAACTCTTCCTCTTGTTGAAGACAACTCATTTTTTTTTTCCCCAAGGAGTTAACTAAATTTTCTACAATGTGGTTTGTGGCCAGTCATTTTTCTATTGATTTGTGGTACTTTTTTTTGTTGTAAGATTTTACTTACTTGAGAGAGAGCGCACATGAGCAGGGAGAGGAGCAAAGGGAGAGAGGGAGAAGCAGACTACCTGCTGAGTGGAGACCCCGGTGGGGGGCTTGATGCCAGGACCCTGGGATCATGACCTGAGCGAAGGCAGATGCTCGGCCGACTGAGCCACGCAGGCGCCCCCCCCCCCCCGTTTGAAAGATTTGTTTATTTTTAGAGGGAGAGGGAGAGAGAATCTCAAGCAGACTCCCTGCTGAGTGGGGAGCCCAATGCGAGGCTCAGTCTCACGACCCTGAGATCATGACCTGCTCCAAAGTCAAGCCGCAGTTGAGTCAGATGCTTAACTGCCTGCACCACCCAGGTGCCCCTGTGGTACTACTTATTACATATTAAGTTCCTATGATATTAGAATCTGTTTTAGGACATTTTTACTTTGAGCTTTTGTACTCTAAATGTTGTTTGCTTGCCACTTGTTTTAAAATTTCCTCTCTCACATTTCCATTAAGGAAGTTTAGCATTCTAAATCCTTACATGGCATTTTTGTTTTAGGAAGAAGATACATGTTGCTTTTAAGAGATGAGAGCGAAGAGGGTGGTTGGCTCCTTTTTTTTTTTTTTTTTTAAGATTTATTAGGGGGAGAGAGAGAGAACATGTAGAGGGAGAGGCGGGGGAGGCGGATTTCAAGCAGGTTCCCTGCTGAGCGCAGAGCCCATTGTGGAGCTCCATGTCACAGCCCTGAGATCATGACCTGAGTGGAAATCAGGGTCCGGCACTTAGCTGACTGAGCCATTCAGGTGCCCCCTGCTCGTTGGCTCCTTTTTTTTTTTTTTTTATTGTTCTTTATTTTTTTTTAAACTTCTTATTTATTTATTCATGAGAGACAGAGAGAGAGAGAGAGAGAGAGAGGCAGAGGGAAAAGCAGGCTCCCAAGGAGCAGGGAGCCTGATGCGGGACTCGATCCCAGGAGCCCGGGATCATGACCCGAGCCAAAGGCAGACGCTCAACCATCTGAACCACCCAGGCGCCCTGGTTGGCTCCTTAAAACATGGCTATGAAGGTGGGTCACCCAGGGGTCATCACAACCCTATATTTGGGGCTCACTCTTGCAGGTTGTGAAGATACATCTAGCTAGTGCACCCAGAGCTTCACTGTTAGATATGGTAGCTTCTAGCCATGTTGGCAATTTAAATCTATTGAAATTATTTTCTCATTTACACTGACCACATTTCAAGTTCTCAACAGCCACATGTTTATCATACTGGACACTACAATTAATAGAGCTTTTATTTCCACCATTAAAGGTTCTAATGGAGAGTGTTGACCTCAGTCCAGTTAGATTTGGGGAAACCTGACTCATGGGTCAGAACAGAGCACACATTAATTGGTCACATTCTTTTCTCTGCAGGAAAGTCTACATAGAGGAAAGAAAAGGTACTGTGTATCAACTGTTAGGCTAAATTTTTTTATAGTAGGAAAAATTTTTATTTAAAATTTTAAATTTGAGTGTAGTTGACACAATGTGAACATCAGTTTCAGGTGCACAACATAGCCGATTCAACAACTCCCTATGTTATGCTGTGCTCCCCACAAGTGTAGCTCCCATCTGTCACCATACAAGTCCACTGTAATATCATTGACGATATTTCCTATACTGTACCTTTTATCCCCGTGACGTACTCATTCCATGACTGGAAGCCTGTGTCTCCCACTCCCCTTCACCTGTTTTGCCCGTCCCCCCTTACACTGATTTTTTTCAAATGTCTTTGATGGTTCACATTCGTGGAGGGAGATGAAGGAATAAGCTCTCTAATGTCCCAAAAGATTGTCATAAGGTGGCCTCGTGAGCAGGAATCCCAGTTTCTGGGTTTTCTGCTACTTCATTGTTAAAATGATCCTCACACCCTGAGCAGGTTTCTTATGAAGAGTTGCAGCCTGGGAAAAGGCAAGGAAGGGTGACTTTAGAGTTGGGTTTAATCCCCAACTCAGGCCCTGCCCATCTGCTCCTGCCCTCAGGCTATAGAGGGCCAGACTCTGAGCATTAAAAAATAGGAGCCCAGGCCAGACGACTGTGACAGCAGAGAATGTTTAAGGTTACTGTGACTGTCATATGGGTGTTTGCACATCGTTTTCATCATCTATCCTGGTTTCTAATCAACTTTAGAAGAACTATCATTAACTTAGGGTGGAGAATCCCTGGGCACATCCATTCGTGGGTGGGTTATAGTCCCATTCCAGCCTGAGTTCTGCAAACACCTGTGACGAGTGAGTGAAATGTGGTTGGAGCTCAACTGTATTCAAACTTTTGAGAGCTGAGCTTTGTAGACTATCAGGGAGACTCGGGTAATTGAATATCCTAGCAGGAATTCGAGGTTTGGGGATCGAAGCACATCCAGCGTGGTGGGGCAAGGATATCGGTTGGCACCGCAGACCCAGCTAGTCGTCAGCTCTGGGATGGGCACCCGCAGGAGCGCCAAAAATCCGATCCCGGGACCCGTAGGTAGGGGGCTTCGGCTGCCGCGCGCGCGCGCGCCCCGCCCCTCCTGCCCCGCGCAGCCCCGCCCCTGGCTTCCTCGTGACCCGTGTCCCGCCCCCCTCGGCCGGGAGCGCCCCCGGCTGATTGGCCCCTCCGCGGCGTATCCTCCGGCTGGCAGCCAGGCGGGCGCGTCACGTGGCCGAGCAGCGTCCAGGGCGCCGATCCGCGGGCCTCCAGGCATGGACCGTCAGGCCTCCGGAGTCCGGGCGCTGGGGGCCGCCGAGCCGCTTCGGGGTCCGCCGCTGCCGAGCGCGCGGGAGGCGCCCCCCAGCCCGGGGGTGAGCGCGGCCGCCAGGAGCGGCCCGGGGCGAGAAGTTGCGGGGCTCGCGGGCCGGGCCGGGCGGGGCGGGGTTGGGGGCTGCGGGGCCGCGGGGCCGCGGGAGCGCCGTTTGGGCGCGCGCTCGCGCTGGAAACTGCGGGGCCGCGGCGGCCGAGGGCGTGGGGGCTGGGGGGGGGACGAGCGGGGGCGGGGCGGCGGGCTGGCAGGCTCGGGGGCGCCTCTGCGTACTTGCTGAATGGGAGGTGATGCTGACGACCGAGAGCTGGGGGCCGCTGCCGGGGGCCTGGGCCGGGGCCAGGTGAGGGCGGCGAGGAGCGCGCTGTCCCCGAAGGACCTGTGACCAGGGCTGGGGATGCACGGCTCACCCCGAGCACCACATGATGTCTGATGCGCTCTGTCCTTTTCTGTTTACTGAAACCAAAGGCCCGGCTTGACGCAGGGTTTCCAGAAACTTGTTTTCATTTGCGCGCCAGACAGCTCCTGGTTTTTCAAAGACCGTTGTTACAGCCATCACCTGTCCTTGTTTACAGCCAGGCAGTTCTGCTGGGTGGTGAGCGCCGTGAGGGTAGGAACCCTCTGTTGAGTGCTGTTAACCCGCCGCCTGGCGGCGTGCCTGCCACGATAGACCCGGCTGTTAATGGGAGGGGGTAGAATGCTTGTTTAAGCATCAAAGATAGTACTAAACCCGAGTAAGATAGGAAAAATGCAGTGATAGACTTATAAAAAAATTACTTAGGGGGGCGCCTGGGTGGCTCAGTCGTTAAGCATCTGCCTTCGGCTCAGGTCATGATCCCAGGGTCCTGGGATTGAGCCCCGCATCGGGCTCCCTGCTCGGCGGGGAGCCTGCTTCTCTCTCTCCCACTCCCCCTGCTTGTGTTCCCTCTCTCGCAGTGTCTCTCTCTGTGAAATAAAATCTTTAAAAAAAAAATTACTTTGGAGTGCGGACAGGGTGAGACTGATTCTGCCGGGACATAGCAGGAAGGGATGTGCGCTTCCTCTCCAAGGTGACAGGGTGGTAGTGCCTGCAAAGGCGTGGAGGTGAGGAAGGACAGAGCAGATGGCTGGGAGCTTGGGTGGCAGGGCCAGGGGAGAGAACTATGTTCAGCAGGTCGAGGTGCCCTGATGGGTTGGTGTGAATGCCATGGCCAATTTTATGTTCCCACGTGGAGGGCTCTTGAAGGTTTTTGAGCAGAGTGAGGCTGTTAAGGCTGGGCAGGGTGGGTGAGTGGGAGGGCAGGGAGCTATGGCAGTGGTCCACAGGAGAGATGCCACCAGCTGACCTGTAGCAGTGACCAAGGGTTGTCACTGACTTCAAGAGGTGGAATTTATTCATTAAATCTAGGGATGACTAGGTCATGAACTAATTGGGGCAGGTGCCAAGTGCACTTCAAGTGTAGGAGCTAAGAAGGCGGATTTAAATACAACAAATATTACATTCCTGCTACGTGCCAGGTGTTTTCGTAAGTGTTACCTCGTCATAAGCCCCCTGCAAGGTCAGAACAGTCATCTCCAGTTTCTGGAGAAGGAATCCCAGGCGTGGGGGTTGAAGTGGTCTATCAAGGTCACACTCTAAATGAATGGCAGAGCTGGGATGGAAACCATGTCTTTCTTACACAGGCTGTGAACATTTCTTGTTCCATTTACAAAGCAGTCTTGGAGGTGATAGGATTTCAGGAACTTTTGCGTGATGGGAGCAGAAAAGCATATAGTTGGCAGTAGGGGAAGACTTCTTTCTCTTCAGAGTCACTTAGGAATTACAGCTCTGTTGCCCCCTTGTATCGGGAGACAGAATTTGCTAGAATGTGAAGTCACTGAAAAGGTAAAAATGAACGTGGCGGTAGCACCTGCAGGAAACAGCTACCAACCCTAGGGCTGAGGGACGAAGGAATGAGGTGGCAATGATTAAAATTTACAGGCTCAGAGGGGAGGCTTTGCAGAGCTGAAATTCCAACTTCTGAGGAGGAGGTGCTGCCCACACCTACTGCTGGGGTCTCCGAGCTTGGAGGAGGGGGGCCTGAGGGCCTGGGACTCAGACCCCTGACAGGAGGGCCCAGGGAGGAGGTTGGCTCCGCCAGTGCTGGCAAACTGTGAACTGGTTCCAGCGGCTGCTGTAGGAGGGCGCTGTTGCTGCTGCCGTGGGGGGGGGGGGGCGAAGTGTCGCCGGGGTGGCGTCTGCAGGAGTAGGAAGGAGCGAGGCCCTTCTCCCTCGGGCCTTGCCGCCTCTCCTAGGGCAAAGCAGAAGTGGGGGTTCCAGAGCCCCAGCCCCACCCTCACAAAGGTGAGAGTGCGAGATGGCAGCTTAATACCGAGTCCTGGGTAACCTTCTCTTCTTCCTGCAGGCCACCTTTGCCCCCGCTGACCCCTCCGGGCAGCAGAGAGAGACCGAGAAGGCCATGAATCGGCTAGGCAAGTAGACAGCGGAGAAGACGGGGGTGGATGTGGGGAGGGACTGTCTCTGCATCTTGTTGACCTCTTTCCAGCCAGTTCTCTTTGCTGCTGAGTTGTGTTTTCCGCCTAGTGCTTCCACGGTGCCCTCGTGTGATAGCGTGGCTGGAGCTTCCTTTAGGGAAGTCCTGACCTTGCGTCCAAACCCTTCCCTTCTGCTGAGAAAGGCAGCTTAGGGCAGCAGCAAGAGTATGGGGCTTTGGAGCCAGGCAATATTGTTTGCACTTTCAGCTCTGGCTCAGAGTCCTGGGCTCCAGTTTTGAGGCCTCAGATAAGTCATTTATCCTTTGTTTCTCTTTAAAATGGGGATAATAATGCTTCAGAGGGTGGTTCTGAGGATCGGGTGGGAGGATCTTGAGCTGTAAGAACCACCAGCTACTGGTGCTCTTTAAATCTAAGTGAATTATAATTAAATACAATGAAAACCTCCGTTCCCAGTTTGCATGAGCCACATTTCAGGGGCTCAGCAGTCGCGCGTGGTTCCTGCTAGCTAGCCTGTTGGAGCACAGATGAGAGACTATTACTATCATCACGGAAACTCCCGTTGGATAGTGCTGGTCCGGAAGAAGCGCCGTGCCCACACGGACACGTAGGTCCGGTCATAGGCGCTGACACTTGCTGAGTAAGGGCCAGGTACAGTTGCAAGTGTTTTCTTTTCCCGTTCCCCCCTTTTTAAAACAACTCTCACAACAATCCTATTTTCATATTTACAGATGAGAAAACTGAGGCACAGAGTAAAAATTAAAAAAAAAAAATGTGGTCAAACACATACAAAATGTGCCATTTAACAGTTTGAAAGCCTACAGTTCAGTGGCATTTAGTCACAATGCTGTGTAACCACCATGGCTATTAAGTTCCCAAACACTTTCAGCACCCCACAAGGAAACCCTGTACCCGATAAGTAGCCACACTCCCTTCCCCGAGCCCCTGGCGACCACTGATCAGCTTTCCCGTGTCAGTGGAATGATATGCCATGTGGCCTCTTATGTCTGGCTTCTTTCCCTCAGCATAATATTTCCAAGATTTGTTCGTGTTAGTATAAATCAGTACGTTCCTCTTTATGGCCGAATCCTCCCATCATCTGGATACGCTACGTCTTGCTTGCTTCTTCATTCCGTGGATGGGCATTTGTTTGACTTGTTTCCACCTTCTGGTGGTCGCGAACAGTGCTGTCACGGACGTTATTGTACCAGTCTTGTTTAAATACCTGTTCTCGATTCTTTGGGACGTCCGTTTAGGAGGGGAACCGCTGGGCTGCGTGCTAGTTCTGTGTTTAAGTTCTCGAGGGCGTGGCCAAGTCCATGTCCGCTCAGTCACACAATGACTCATCGGCACAACTGGCATTTGGACCGGGGTAGTCCGGCTCCAGAACCCGTGCCCTGAACTACTGCTTTTTCGCTTGTAGCTGCCATTATTATACAGTGTTAGTAGCACGGCTGTGTTCAGGCTAATTCTTTTCCCAGCTCTGACCTGGCTTCCCTGTAGCATTAGGTATGCTGGGAGGGCCATTATCCTCTCCCAGACGTCCTTTCATTATTTTGAGACCTTTTGAAAATACACCTTCCAGCCCTCCGCAGTACGGGGAGGAGGAGACGTGGTGGCTGTTTGTTGTCCCTGGATGGGTTCCGCTCTTCTGCCTGCTTTCCTCCCGCCGTCCCCTTGTCCTTGCTCCTTGAGGATGAAGAGAGAAATAGGGGCGCCTGGGTGGCTCAGATGGTTAAGCGTCTGCCTTCGGCTCAGGTCATGATCCCAGGGTCCTGGGAT